AGAAAAAAATAATCCTAGGATTTATATAGAACCACAGAAGATCGAGAATAACTAGAGGATTTATGTTTTTATTTTTTTAAATGCTTATAAAAAGTAGTTTTTGGTGATTTTTTTTTTCCAGAAACTTTAAACTAGATATTTAAATTTGTGTTTTAAATGAACAATTTTAAAAGCTTGTCTTTATTCTTCAAACTTTTTATTTATAGTATGAACTTACATATTTTTTTCTTTGTTCAGTGTTCTTTCTGATAGGAGCTGTTTAAGAGTAACAGCGGGTCCTACCTCACTGGATCTTGATGTTAATGTTCAGAGGACTCTAGATAACAACTTAGCAACCGAAGCTTATGAAAGAAGAATTAAACGTCTTGAGCAGGAAAAACTTGAACTTAGCAGAAAGCTTCAAGGTAAATATATTTTAAAGATAAATTTCTCTTTTTGAAGCGTTTTAGGAGTTTTAGGGAAGAGAGATAACCAGGAGCTCCTAACTGGGAGCAAAGATACTTCCTAACCTTCATACCTTGTGGTATGTAGGGTATAGGATGAAAAATAGCTCCTATCAGTATCTAGTGGGTAGTTTTACATCTTCATATTTTCTATTCCCAACTCAGATATCTTGAAAAAATGAAAACAATGTTGTTGTTTTCTAAATAGTAAATATATAAGGACCATTTTTTACATATATTGAACCCAAAGGAAAAGAAATGTACAATAAATATGTATTGGGTATAGAAAGGGATCAGATACAGAGGATAGTATATCTCATACCTTTGATTCAAATTTACAATTTCCTGTTGACCACCAGGCACACAAAGATTATGATACATGTACACATGCACGTATACACCCACATACACGAAACAGTCACTAATGATCTGCACTAACAAAGAATTATGGTAAGAGAGCCGTATTATTTAGGAAATAACTGAAAACTTATTTAGAACAATGGGTGGTTTCATTTCGGATATAAAATGGTTTTCAAGTTTTCTTTTTTCCATATCTCTTCATGATATTTGGGAATATCAATAAGGTTAATGTTTCTTTAATAGTATCTTTTGATTCAAACTGAAAGATAAATTTAACTAGTTTAGTTAAATACCTTAACTAAATTGGTAGTCAGAGCTCTATCTATGGATGGGCCTTAACTTTCAGATGTAAAATTTGGAAGGCCGGCACCTCTCTATATACGTATTGACAGTCTAAACCCCCATATTCAGTTCTTCATACATCGTCTGACTAATGGACAACAGTTTTCATTATCACATGTTCCCTGCTCACGCCAAAGGGGGTGGGTAGTTAAATCTCTGTCAAACTACACCAACAGTATTTAAAACAGAAATCTCACATGTTAGAAGGGAAATTCTTCCCTGTATATATTATAATTTCAAAGACATGCACAGTGGAATTTTTATGACTTAATTTTAGTGCATTTACATTCTTTTTGTCAATGAGTATATGTTTTGGCCTATAGAATTATAGAAGAATTTCTGCATAAAGAAATACATTCTCATTAGTTATAAAAATTTGTAGTATGGCAATATTTTTTTCATTCTTTTTTAATTTTTTTTTTTAAGAATCAACACAGACTGTCCAAGCTCTGCAGTATTCAACTGTTGATGGTCCACTAACAGCAAGCAAAGATTTAGAAATAAAAGACTTAAAAGAAGAAATTGAAAAACTAAGGAAACAAGTAACAGGTAAATGTCTATGATTCACTATTAATTCAGGTTAATAGATTTAAAAAATGGCTTATTCACACAAAAAACCTGTCTGAGTTATGTGATACGAATTATATGCCAGTGAGGAAAAAGCAAATAAATAGAAATAAGTGGGTCCTGCTCTCAAGGAGCTCACATTTTGGTCTGGGAAATAGATAAAGAAATAGTTATTACAGTATGTTTGAAAAGGCTGTAAGATAAATGGAGGGTACTCAGGAGGAACAACTAACCCAGATTTAATTGAATAAGGATTGCCTTTTTGGAAGATCTATTAATTTTGGATATTGAGTTTGGATTTGCCTGGAAAAGCATATTTATTATTAGGGCAATAGGTGTTAGGAGGGAGGAAGGACACTCTACAAGGGGAGTGCAGCTGTAGGCATCAAGGCTTATGAAAATGTATTTTCTTTGTTAAGAACAGTGTATTGCTGAGATTAAAATTTGACAGTTGTTGATATGCCTATTATATCCTGTCATTTATTTATTGTATTTATTCAGCAAATGTTTACTAAGCCCCTACTTAGTATCAGGTGGTGTTTTAGGCTTTTGGGATGTAATAACAAAGCATGCCAAAATCCTTACCCTTGCCTGGGTGGAGAACACATAACAGACAAATAGTAAATACATAACTATGGAAATGATTCGGTATATTAGGAGGTGACCACTGTCACCATTTTTAAACAGTGTTTAAAATAGAATAGAATAAGGAGAATGAGTCAGATGTGTGATATGAGGAGTTTTATCATCTTATAAATACTATTGTACAGGTGTAAACCTAATCGAGAAGGTGACATACTAATAAAAATTTGAAGAGGGTAAGGGGCTGTGCATTTATCTAGGTTATACATGTTCTAGGCAGAAGGACCAGCCAGTGCAAAGGCCCTAATGTCAGAATGTGCTTCATGTGTTTAGGTAAAACACAGTAGATAGAGTGGCTGGAGCAGAATAAGCAAGCAGGTAGAAGGGGGAAGGAAGAGCGTTAGAGGAGTCAAGGGGTAGAAAGGTCTTGTTGGCTGATCAGTAGGTCTTCCTGATTGTTGTAAAGTCTCTGATTTTTAGCAAAGTGAGATGGTAGCCTTTTGCTTGTTTTAGAGGCATCACATGATATAAGAGGGGGTACAGAGAGAGAGAAGGTGATATTACT